CTTGGTTTCCCCTGTGTCAATTGATATAAATTTACTGAGATGATTGTGAGATAATCAAGACAAACAACTGCTTGGTTTCTCTGTGTCATTTGATATACATTTACTGAGATGATTGTGAGATAATCAAGACAAACAACTGGTTGGTTTCCCCTGTGTCAATTGATATAAATTTACTGAGATGATTGTGAGATAATCAAGACAAACAACTGCTTGGTTTCCCATGTGTCAATTGATATACATTTACTGAGATGGTTGTGAGATAACCAAGACAAACAATTGTGTCAATTGATATAAATTTACTGAAATGGTTGTAAGAGGGGAGAGTTATACTACAGTCAAATCTGCAGGAATAGTTTGTTTACAATGCTAAATGACATAATTATGAAAAAATAGACCTCATCATCCAGTCAGTATTACAGAATGTGCCAAACAATCTCATGAAGCAACCAAAACAAGTATATTAATCAGACATCTAAAAATTAAAATGATAAGTAACACATGTAATAACAGAAAAAGAAGGTAAAACAACTATATGATAACAACATTATAAAATTGACAGAAACACACTCCAGTGTATATAAGTAACTATGTCAACTTTAACAAGAATCACCTTCATCATTTAACATGATGAAAGTAGGTTAAATCTATCAGGAAACTGTAGCACTTTTAATTATAGAAAACAAACAAGTATCAGGTCACAAACCATAAATGGCTTGCTGATATATTAAGAATGATAGTATGTTGAATCTATCAGGAGACTGTAACATTGTTAATTGCAAGTAACAAACAGCTGGCTGATATAGTGTGAGTGATAGTATTTAATTTCTATGGTGGATATTGGTGTATAAAAGACATTATAATACTATAAATAAACAACCTTATAACACCAAATTGTTTTTTTTTTAGTTTTAGTCATTAATTGGGAATGCCATGTTGAAGCACTGTTATCTTAATTATTAATCTTTTCAAATGACTTTAAAATATTACCATGTCAGGAAGTACACAGATGTATTTCACAAGGTCAATTTTAATTAAACAAAGGTGAAAGTATATTGTTGTATGTAACTCATAGAATCTACTTTGTGTACAAACAACTGACCAAATTTCTTTTATCAAATAAGAAAAACAACAATTTGGTTTTATATGGTCATTTATTTCTAGTTTGAGAATGATAGTATGTTGAACCAACTAGGAGGTTTTGTGTGTGTGCATCGGGTTACCAACATCAAGTATGGAAAAAAATCATAGCAGTAATAAACTGATTGTCATGGATAAAAGAAACATCTCACACTTACATGTTTTAAGGTAGTTGTGTTGGTTTTTATTTTTAAAAGTTTATTTTTTCAAACACTCATTTCAGTTTGGCATGCCATGTTGAATAACTGTTATCTTAATCATTTAACTTTTCAAGTGGCTTTAAAATATTACCATGTTATTGTTAGGAAGTACACAGACATATTTGACGAGGCCAGATTTAATATAATAAACAAAGGTGAAAGTATACTGTTGTATGTCACTCGCAGAATCTACTTTGTATACAAACAACTGACCAAATTTATTTTATCAAATAAGATAAACTACAAAGTGATATTTACATTTATAATATTATTAAATAGGTTATTCAGTAATAAAAGTACTTGAAATCACAATATTGTCTTCAAATTCAATACATATTTGCATTACACTAAGTCCTTTTAACTACATATTAAAACACTAAATGTAAAACATTAGCTATCTAGCAACATTAGTTGACAAAAGGTGATTCAGACACTTGGCAAAAGGAGACAGTTTGTAATAATAGAGTGCATAGTATTGTTCATATATGGCATTGTCTGGGTACAAATCAGTAACTATTTAACCTACTTTGCTATAGTTGTTATAAATTATTCTGCAAAGTTAAGAAAATACTAAATAAAAACTTTATCATATTTAACAAATTAAAATTTAATATAAACCAAAAGCTTGTACTATTTTAAGCATTTTAAATGATGTTATTTTTTTATATTAAGTTTTCATTTGAAAAGTAATAAATTACTTTAATTTTATTTACCCAAGGAGCAGTTTCAAGTTCATAATCTCACTGATGTTAATTTGAAAGCAGTCACAAATAAATGCTACAAGAAAAACCTAGAACTGGTAATTTCAGTAAATGTACCTTGACTTAAACTAACATTAGCTATATTCATCACAATTTGTCAGTTCCTTTATGAGTTCAACAGCCATAGTGGGCACAGAGTAGATACCTCATTGTATGTCTACACTTAAAACACAAACAATCTAATGCAATTAAGTAAATAAAAAAAATATTTTAGTGGTACCATTTCATTTAGTCAGAAATATTGAATATAAGACCACTGGAAAAAAATATTCTGAAGTGGAAAAAATGAAGGAAAATTAAAGAATGTTTTAAGTTGGAAAATAACAGAAAATAGTTTCATTTTCTTCTAATGTTAATGTTTTGTAATATTTTCAGTCAAGTTAATACTATACCCGATTTCACCAGTTGAATGTGGAAATATCACATTGGCTGTGAACCCAGCATTATAGGAAGATAATTGTAAAACACATGTCCTTTAATAATACTGTATCAATGAGAAAATTTACATTTTACTATTTAGGAAGTCAGACCACAAGCTTAATCAGTTGTTTTTTTTCTTAAATGGGTTAACTACTACAGTGGTTGAACTGTGTAGGCCTTCCAACCATTGTATGATAAAGCTACACAGTAGGAACCAAACTGTTTAAAATGAGTAATAATGCTGAATATTAGATCAAATTCTTTGGTAGCATATGATAAAACTTGACAGTTAACAAGCTGTTTAAAGTAGATAATAATGTTGAATAATGTTTGGTAGAGTATGATAAAGCTTGACAGAGAACCAAGTTGTTTAAAATAGATAATAATGTTGAAAATTAGATCAAACTGTTTGGTAGATTATGATAAATCTTGACAGTTAACAAGCTGTTTAAAGTAGGTAATAATGTTGAAAATTAGATCAAACTGTTTGGTAGCATATGATAAAGCTTGACAGTTAACAAGCTGTTTAAAGTAGGTAATAATGTTGAAAATTAGATCAAACTGTTTGGTAGAGTATGATAAAGCTTGACAGTTAACAAGCTGTTTAAAGTAGGTAATAATGTTGAAAATTAGATCAAACTGTTTGGTAGAGTATGATAAATCTTGACAGTTAACAAGCTGTTTAAAGTAGATAAAAATGTTGAACATTAAATCAAATTATCTGGTAGTGTATGATAAAGCTTGACATTCCCAAACTAT